TATACATAAATATATAAACATATATGTATTATATGTATATATGTATTATAAATATCAATATATAATATATGCATGTAACTCTAAATCAGTTAATTGTCATTTTATTGTATTTCTTGCATTATATATAACATTTACAATCTTTTTATTTTTAAAATACATAATTTGGTGCATTTAGAGTTAAGAACAAGATACTGTATGTAACTGGCTGTATCATAATATATTAATGTACTGTTATGTATAAACATATATATTATGTATATGTAAATATAATATATATAATATAAGTATATATAATATGTTTTTCAGACTTCCACCCAGCCAGTTGCATTAGTAGATTTCTCATTACTGCATTATGGTAGCACTTTTTATATTTGGAATTATAAATTTGTTAGATTTGTTTGTTTATATTATTTTGTTTGTTCATGAAAAAAGAATCTTTGAGCATTGTGACCCAATGTATCAAATATGATACAAATTGAAACTCATATATGGAAGATGATATTTGAATTTATTTTGTTTGTTTGTTCAGAAGGACCAATAAGGGGTCCAAGTTCAAAGAATTGGAAAGAATCTGTCAATAATGTAATGGTTTGGGCTTTATAGGGTTAAGGTCCACAATTGACTAGACATTTTTTTGACTAAACAGAGGATTAACTCACTGATTAACATTCTGAGTTGAAAGATAGTGGATGAAAATATTAAGCATTACGCATTATTAAGCATAATGCATTCTGCATTATTTCTTTCTGCAAAACAGTACTTAGTTGTCCAAATTTTGGCAATTAAAAAAAAATTAATAATATACAATTATAAAGTCAGCAAAATAAAACATGTCATTCTCAGATTTTCTTTCAGCCTCGAACAGCATATTTTGTCAGTGCTAAGTGGTCTCTGTGGAGTTCATTCGTAACTATTAGCCGGTGCATCTGGAATAAAAAGAACCGAGGATTTGATACTAAGCAGTGAAACATATTGTCCTGGGTGAATGAGACACAATTACGTGTATTTAAGATACGCTTTGTTCCGTGTCATCTCAAACCGAGTACCCAATGGAGGTCCTAACAGTTAGGAAGCATGCACTCAGAAAACAGCAGCTCTTGTTATACGAATAATATGATATCAATTTGTTACAGCCAGGATGTAGAGTGCACATAAACAGGCAGCCAATCATGAAAAAGTGAAAGTGAATTATTTGTCATTGTGACACAGCACATACAACGAAATGTGACCTCTCTGTTTAACCCAGGTTCTCAATGATTTTCTGTCATGGGGACAGAAATGTTTTCACCCCTCTGCACCCCCGTGAATTGAAATACTATTGAGAACCTGATAACATGTTTATTTTTATCTGTACAAACCACTGTATAAGTTGCTGCCAACTAGTGACTGGAGAATGGTTATCATTCAAGCATTTACAGTAGTGGTACACTGTCCATATTCATTGGAAGCTCCTCACACTCCCCGTGCCACCTTGCCGAGCCCCCCATTTAAGAAACACTGGTATAACCCATGTTGCAG